TATCCCCAAGCACAGTGCTTCGTGTTTCCGGTGGGAGTGAATGGTAACCAGCATGGAGGAACAGTGGGGACTGAACCTCTCCTTTGTCCTTATTATACTGCCTGTTTCTTAGGGGGAGCAAGTTTTGCCTTTTCCCCATTAGCTTTTGGTGCTTCCTGCCCTATAGAAGCTGCCCTATGAGAGCTGCATCAGAGCTTCAGATTAAGAGCCAGTTTGGTGTCGTGGTGAAGTGCGCGGACTCCAATCTGGGAGAACCGGGTTTGATTCCCCACTCCTCCACTTGCACCTGCCTGGATGACCTTGGGCAAGCCGTAGTTCTGTCAGAGACGTTCTCTCAAAGACAGTTCTGGAAAGAGCTCTCTCAGCCCCACCTCCCTCACAGGGTGTTTGTTGTGGGGAGGGGAAGGGAAAGGAGTTTGTAAGCCACTCTGAGTGAAGGGTGTATATATCCAGTCTCCTCCTCCTCCTCCTCTTCCTCTCCTTCTCCTCCTTCTCCTCCTTCTCCTCCTCCTTCTTCTTCTTCTTCTTCTTCTTCTTCTTCTTCTTCTTCTTCTTCTTCTTCTTCTTCTTCTTCTTCTTCTTCTTCTTCTTCTTCTTCTTCTTCTTCTTCTTCTTCTGTCCAGCTGCTTCCTTAGACTGTTCAAAAGGTAGGGTTGCCAGCTCCAGGTTGGGAAATACCTGGAGATTTGTGGGGTGGAGCCTCAGGAGGGCAGGATTTGGGGTGGGGAGGGACCTCACCGGGCTATAATGTCACAGAGTCTACCCTCCAAAGCTGTCATTTTCTCCAGGGGAGCTGATCTTGGCTGCCTGGAGATCAGTTGTCATAGTGGGAGATCTCCAGGTCCCACCTGGAGGCTGGCAACCCTACCAGAAGGCCGTGTCCCTGTAAGGCCATGCCCCCTTTTACTCTGTCAGAATCCCAAGGCTTCTATTTTTACTTTTCATCGTGCGTCAGTGTGCAGCAGAGGAGGGGGGAAAAAATAGGTCGGCGACCCAGTTTAAATTCCCTGGACATAGACGCTGTGGAAATGGTATAAAAGCTGCAGCAAGGAGAACTCGCTGGCTGGTTTATTAAATTATTGTGTGTGGTTGGGAAAGACAGACTAAACAACACACAAGAAAAATTCAGGTCTAGGAAGACACCTGCCCTCGGCGTGCCCCTTCGGCAGGTGGCTGCAAATCCCTCTCAGTGGGACGGAGCACCAGAAGAGCCGCATTCCCATAACTATTAGCTCGCTCACTTCTTCAGGTCTTAAAGATTATCATGGGGGAACATAATTGGTAACCTATAAAAAGATAAATGGTCCATTCTGGCCGATTGCATCTTCAACGTGTTTTGTGACTCCCTTCAGTCTGTGGACAATTCGTGCCTGTTCAAACCTGGCAAGGGGAGGAGGGGGAGACCGTGGAATTGTCGTTTTTAAAACCTGAGTCCAGAGATATGGTTTCATGTACTGGGTGTCTGCATAATATTGCAGAGTTTCTTCTACTCGGGTTCACTCCTTCCACCCCCGTTCTTTTGAGAAAACGAGCACCTTCTGCCTGCTTGTGTTCTTCTTGGTTTAAAATACATTTTTAAAGAGATTGTAAAGTTTGTACCAAAGGACCACAGGGAGCCCGAGAGAAATTAGAATGTCTCGGTTCTCGAAGCCTTTTCTCTACTTAAAATAACATCTTGTCTACCTACAGGGAGAGAATATTTCTGTTCCACCTATTAAATCCTGCATTTGAATCGGTTCTCTCCTTGGTGGTCGAAAGTGCCATCAAGTCAGTTGACTCATCGCAACCGATGCTCCCTCTAAGCTGTGGAGCCTTGTGAGCAAAAATTCTGCTTTGTGAGCTGCTGGCATTAAAGTTGTGAGCGAGCGATTTGGCTGCTGCATAAATTAGTGTGCTCTGGAGCCCTCCTTCCTGAGCTGAGACAAAAACGTGTGAGCTGGAGGCTAAAAAACTGTGAGCTAACCCACACTAACTCAGCTTAGAGGGAACACTGATCGCAGCCCCGTAGGATTTGCAAGGCAAGAGACCTTCAGAGGTGATTTGGCATCGCCTACCTCTGTGCAGCAACCCTGGGCTTCCTTGGTGGTCTCCCATCCAGGTACTAGCCAGGGATGACCCTTCTTGGCTTCCGAGATCTGACAAGATCAGGGTGTTCTTTCCTTATCCATTGAGATAATCATCCATTCCTTGTATGTTCAGGGTTTTCTAGCTACACAGGTGACATTTCTTCCTCAGTACCAAAAGGGAGTTTCTCGTCTCTGTAGGTTCATTCATTTAAACGTGTGCATACTTGCAACTGTCATCTGAAGAGAACTAAACCGACTGTGGGATAAAACTAGAGGAAGGACAGGTGATCTGTAGGTCCAAATCAGGAGTTCACTAGAGTTGGCCGGGCTCGGTAAGCTGACGATTACGGTCTCACTGTGCGTGAAGCTGTCTTGCTACCTGCAAAGTAATTGCATCCGTTTTGTACCCAATGGGGCCTAGCCAGGGGATTTTACAGAGGTAGGGGTGTGTCAGCAAGCTACTGGGGGGCTGTTCATAGCAACCCCTCCAATCCATGGTCCTCGGGCTGGCACACAACAGAAGATGAAGCCCGGTGACATTTGTGACCCCCTGTGTATTAGGTATGAAAATGGATAAAGAAAAGCCATTGATTGATTGATTGATTGATTGATTAATTGATTGACTTTCCACCCCGCCCTCCCCACCATGGCAGGCTCAGGGCGGCTTACATGGAATTTTACACAGCTAAACAGATATAGATAAACTCATAAACAATATAAATAGAAAAACATTACAGAGTGTTAGTGCTACAAGGTTCATATATGATGGCAGGTATAAGCAGCATCTGACAAAACAAAGAAAGTGCTAGTACTACAAGTTTCATATACGATGGCGGGCATAAGCAACATCCGACAAAACAATTAGCTACCATCGTAGTCTGGGTTATGCAGGCTGTTAAGTGATGTTGATATTGATGTTGATGTTGATGTTAACATTGGGGCCAGGGCCTCAGTTTGTATAGCCATGTAATTCCTATCCAAAGTAACACAAGACAAAACGCTGTGGGGGGGGGGGGGGTTTACTGGTTATCCCACTCACCCAGTCTCCTAGAATGTCACAAGCCAAGGTTGGCAACCCCAGTATGTCCCTTCCTCACGTGGCTCTGCATTACAAGCAAAACCAGAAATTAGGTTCAATGGGATGCTGTGTCCTATAATTTGCTTAGTTGTACTTGACAAGGAGCTGCGGTGGCTCAAGTGGTTGAGACACTGAACTGCAGGCTGGAAGGTCAGTAGTTCAGCAGTTCGAGACCCGAGTGCCACATGACGGAGTGAGCTCCCGTCTCTGGTCCCAGCTCCTGCCAGCCTAGCAGTTCGAAAGCAAGAAATTGCAAGTAGATAAATAGGTACCGCTTCGGTGGGAAGGTGACAGCGTTTCGTGCGCCTCGGTGGCTAGTCATGCCGGCCACATGACCATGGAAACGTCTTCGGACAGCGCTGGCTCTTCGGCTGGGAAACGGAGATGAGCACCGCAACCCTAGAGTTGGATACGACTGGCTTTCGAGCAAGGGAACCTTTACCTTTACCTTACTTGACATGTCAGTTCTTATATCCCCATCCTGTGTGAGGTTATCCATTCAGACACACTGATGTCTTCAGCATTCATCTGAGCTCTTAACATACACTTTAGCGATCCTTAAAGGGATGGAATAACGGGGGGCGGGGGGGTGGAAAGTGCTGGCAACTGACTGCCAATTCATGGTGGTCCTGTGGGGTTTTCAAGGCAAGAGACGTTCAGAGCGGGTTTTCTATTGCCTGGCCGTGCACAGCAACCCTGGACTTCCCTGATGGTCTCCCATCCAAGTACTAACCGGGGCTGACCCCACCTAGTTTCTGAGATCTGATGAGATCAGTCTAGCCTGGGCGATCCAGGTCAGGGCAATAACACGTCCCACAGTGTTTTATGATGTCGTCTAGTGGAGGATTCACAGCATAAACGAGGACCAGCTGTACATATCTAATTTACACGTCCTTCTGCCATCTGCTGCGGTGGCTCAAGTGGTTAGGACGCTGAACTGCAGGCTGTGGAAGGCCAGTAGTTCAGCAGTTTGAAACCCGGGTGTGCCGCATGACGGAGTGAGCTAATTCCAGCTCCTGCCAACCTAGCAGTTCGAAAGCAAGACATTGCAAGTAGATAAATAGGTACCACTTTGGTGGGAAGGTAACAGCGTTCCATGCGCCTTGGTGTTTAGTCATGCCGGCCACATGACCACGGAAACGTCTTCGGACAGCGCTGGCTCTTCGGCTTTGAAACGGAGATGAGCACCGCAACCCTAGAGTCGGATTCGACTGGCTTTCAAGCAAGGGAACCTTTACCTTTACCTTTACTGCCATCTGATTTATCTGGACGCACTTCGTTTGTTGCCTTTCTTAAACGAAACAGTGTAGGGCTGCTTTCAGCAACCCGATCCACAAACCTGTTCCTCCAAATCTTAGTGACTTCAATTTGCTTTCTGGAGCAGTGATTAGATCCAAATTCAATCGTTTTGCTTGATGGGGCTTTTAACACTTGCTGTGGCAACCCTTCGTTCTCTCTGAAAGGTTCCATGCCCTACTGGCATTCAGTTACTTTAAAATCATTGGGGTCAAGAGCAGTGCTCCCTCTAAGCAGTGGAGCCTTGTGAGCAAAAATTCTACTTTCTGAGCTACTGGCATTAAAGTTGTGAGCAAGGAAAACAAAACAACAAAGGAGATGCATTGTTACAGGTTTGCTGGATTTGTTTTTGACATACCTCCTTTCTTTGTTTTGTTGATTCCGAGTGGCACGCATTGATTCAAGAACAGCACATTTTGCAAAGAGCTTTGCAGTGTGCCCCCTGACCCTCTTTATTGATGCTCGAAGCATGCCAAGGGCAATGTTGGTCCATTATAAATGAGTCCCATTTACCTGAAGGAGAGATGAGGTTTTACAAAAGGCTTGCTTTCTCCTTGTAGGCCATCTGAACAGTGGGCTGCTGGACTTCCTCTTGTTCGGCAGCCTGATTGCCGCAGTGGATCCTGTTGCCGTGCTGGCAGTGTTTGAGGAGGTCCATGTCAACGACGTCCTCTTCATAATTGTTTTCGGAGAATCGCTGCTCAACGACGCGGTGACTGTGGTACGTTACTGTCTTGAGGTCCCAAGGATACTTGCTTTCTGGGAATTTGATAGTAGAATACTGGGAATCCTGGTAAATCATAAAAACCTTGGATAATCCAGGTTGCAGGTAAACGAGCATTCGGTTCTGAAGATTCTAATAAATTGACGAATGCCGAAGGGGTTACCAATAAGTATAAACGAGCATTCGGTTCTGAAGATTCTAATAAACTGACGAATCCCGAAGAGGTTACCGATAAGTGTAAACGAGCATTCGGTTCTGAAGATTCTAATAAACTGATGAATCCCGAAGAGGTTACCGATAAGTGTAAATGAGCATTCAGTTCTGAAGATTCTAATAAATTGACGAATCCTGAAGAGGTTACCGATAAGTGTAAACGAGCATTCAGTTCTGAAGATTCTAATAAATTGACAAATGCCAAAGAGGTTACCGATAAGTGTAAACAAGCATTCAGTTCTGAAGTGTCTAATAAATTGACGAATGCCGAAGAGGTTACCGATAAGTGTAAATGAGCATTTGGTTCTGAAGAGTCTAATAAATTGACGAATGCTGAAGAGGTTACCGATAAGTGTTAAGCAGCTGTTTGGCTGAAAGCAATTTCTTTAAATGGTACACCATGCATATTTACTCTTGGAAGTCCCATTGAGTTCAAGTAAATATTTGTAGCATTGCATCCATAATGCCTGGTTTTATGGCTGCTTTAGGGTTGCCAGGTGCCCTCTGGCCACTGGCAGGGGATGGTGGGGTAGGGTTGCCAGCAATGTTCCCTCTAAGCTATAGAGTCTTGTGAGCAAAATATTCTACTTTGTGAGCTACTGGCATAAAAGTGGTGAGCGAGCTATTTGGCTGCGGCACAAATCAGTTTCCTCTGGAGCCCTCCTTCCTGAGCGAAGACAAAGATGCAGGAGCTAGCTCACAGTAACTCAGCTTAGCGGGAACACTGGTTGCCAGCTCCAGGTTGGGAAACGCCTGGATATTTGAAGGTGGAGCCTGGAGACGACAGGGACCTCAGTGGAGAACAATACCATAGAGTCTTTATTGGCAAAGCTCCTTTAGAACCGCTGGCAATTTGTAGGATAATGATGGTTCTCCAGTCTGTTTTTAATGCACAAACGCAGTGGCTTTTAAAACAGGACAAGACAAATGATTCTGGATTAAGTTATTTCAGCATACAGAAGAGAGTTATGGGCATTTGGCAATATACAAAGGGCAGGAAGGGGGAGCTCAGTTTTATCGTCCTCTGTATGAGAAGGGGATTGCTGACAATTGTGCCCCTGTTTTCATTTGTGAACTATGAGAAGGACTGTGGCATGATTCATTTAAGCAAACGGCATCCAAATTCTAGCCTTTCTTTAGTTAGGTGAATATTCACAACTGCTAAATAGCAGCACACAGATCATTTAAAGCACTACTTGGCTTGGGACCAGAGTAACTGGAGAACCATCTGCCTTGGAATTAAGATTGTAGGGAGAGGCCCCCCCTGACTGTCCCACCAATCAAAGGAGCTCGACCAGTGGGCACGTGAGAGAGGGCCTTTTCAGTGGCAGCTCCACGATTATGGAACAACCCCCTCCAGGGAGGTGTGCCCCTGGCCCCCTCCCTTTCGATCTTCAGGAGGCAGCTGGAGATGGTTTTAGTTAGGACTGCATTTGATGAAGTTTACTAGCAGTCCTGAGTTGTGATTTTGCATTTTTGGTTTTAATTTTTTTAAATATATTTTATTTTACGTGTTTTACCTGTGTTGTAAGCAGGCTTGAACTCTGTAGAAGACAGATGGCTAATAAATGTTTTAAATAAATGAATGAATGAATAGGGGTGGGTAGGTTCAGTTTGCTGTTATGTGTTGGGCTGCCGTGCGGTTTCAGCCAGCGTTTCTTTTTTGTGCCAGGTGCTGTACAACGTCTTTGATTCCTTTGTCGCCATCGGAGCCGAGAACGTGACCGGTGTGGACTGTGTCAAAGGCATAGGTGAGCGGCCTTTGAACACTCATTCCCTTCCAGACAAATAGATGTGGGATTTCAATAATGGGGAGAATTATACCCCACCACTGCGGACCGTCTTACCCTTCCTCTTCCTGTCCTTGTTCATTCTCGCATCTCAGAGGCATCTTAGAGACTAAACTTCCTTTAAATATATATATACATATATATGTGTGTGTGTGTGTGTGTGTATATATATATATATATATATATACACACACATATATATTCTTTAAGAAAAGGTGGGATACCGAAATGGTAGGGGAAAACGTAGATTCATCAGCTTTGTCATATATTATGAAATTGTTACGTACAACAAGTAAAATCAGATGTATTACCCAACTGTATTACATAGTTCAAATATAGAAGCAGATAAATAAAACATCAATATTACAGCATTTTGGGATAGATTCTCTCTTTAAAGAATGAACCAGGACTTTCCTAAAGTTAGTGATAATCTATTAACGATAAAAGAGATTATGTCTTTAACAATTGAACGGACTCCTGTGCTAAAATTAAATCTTTGTAAGAGAGCAAACGTCCAAATGCAGCTGCGTGAGACTTAATGATATTCCCCACCCCTTCCCAGTGTGGAACTTGTGCCATCTGGGATGGATATCCAGCCTGGCTTGTTCAGGTGGGAACAAAATGTTCTCAGCTGTCTCGTTGTGTATGAGGATTGCCCGGCTGCTGTTTCCCTGTGGCACGGGGGGGGGGGGACAATACGGGTAGGCAGAGAGGTGCTTAACCTCCCCCCCCCCGCCGCCACTTTAATCCTCCAGGCCTGAATCTGTTGCAAAGAAGGGTCTCAAACCCAGGCTGGGTGGGAATCGTCTCGGAGAGGAGGAGCTGGGGACAGTCGCAACCGGGGAAACTTTACCACTCTGCCCGCCTGCCATTTCTTCCCTGCAAACCACCTTCCCCTGGTGCACTATACATCTGAGATTTGAATCATGACCACAGGTAACATGTGTTGCAGCACAGACCGTGGTAGCATTGACACATACACACAACACTACCAGGGCCGGCTCATCAGCTAGGCGAACTAGACGTTTGCCTAGAGCACAGGCCCTGGATCCGGGCGGCAAACTGCCACCCTCACCCCCGCCAAAAGCCCCCCCGCCCCTGAGCAAGTCCCGGGCGCCGCAGGGGCAGAGGAGTGGATCCTGCCATGGGCTTGGCTGGAGAGAGGTGCACTCGTGGCGCCTTCCCTCCAGCCCCCAGCTGAAGGGACTCGCTGCCACCAGCAGGAGCAGCGGGACCCCCGGCCTGGGCGCAGGAGGCGGCGTCACAGCTCGTCTGCCCTCCCTCCTCGGGGTGCAGGCGGACTGGGTGGAGGCTCCCTGAGAGTGGCGCACCCGGGCGCCGTTGAAGGAGGCTGCATGGCAGTGGCCAGTGGCGCGGAGGTGGATCTGCGGCTCTGGGCGCGCGCCCCCCCTGCGGGGACTGAAATAGTTTAGGACCGGTGGCCTGCGGCGCCCCCCCCCTCCAGCCCCCGGCCGAAGGGACTCAGCGGCGCCACCGCAGCCAGCAGGAGCAGCAGCAGGATGCCCGGCTGGGGCACAGGAGGCGGCACCGCAGCTCACCCGCCCTCCCTCCTCAGGGGCGGGCGGACTGGGCGGAGGACCCCTGAGAGTGATCGCCAGGCCCCACCGGTAGGTTCGCATCTGCACCACAAGGCAGCCTCGCCTAGGGCGCAGAAACACCTTGAGCCGGCCCTGGACACAACCATTAATGAACTCCTGGTAGTCGAAACGACGCTATCCTCTTACACTGTTGATAGTGGGGGAGGGGTCCTGGTTGAGAGAAGGTGCTCACACCTTTGAGAGTGTTGTAAAGCACGGAGACGGGGTATGGTTGCCAGCTGGCATGGAGGGGGAAGTATCCTCTGCTTTTAACAGAGGCTGGGTGATGGTGGAACATGCAACCAACTTGTGGCAGTCCCTCAGGGCTTTCAAGGCCAGAGATGTTCACAGGTGGTGCTTGGCAGCCCTACTGAGCGAAGACAAAAAATGTGTGAGCTGGAGGCTCAAAAACTGAGCTGGCTCACACTAACTCAGCTTAGAGGGAACACTGAGTTCCATGGTGGTCTCCCGTCTAAATACTAACCAAGACTTACCCTCCTTAGCTTCTGAGGATCTGACAAGATCGAGGTAGCCTGGGCCCTCCTGGTCAAGGCTTAATGGGATGCTATTGGCTGCCTTGCAATGAAAAAGTACAACAGTCCATTCCCACCCCTTCTGCCTCTATTAGAAGGACAGGGCATTTTTCTCCAGGCCTGTTGGCAACCCCAGTACAACCAACAGCCCTCCGATCCCTTTCCTGCAATGGTTCCCCCTTCTGCCCTCCTGTTGAGAGGGACACCTGGAGTCTGGCTTGCTTCAGCAGGTGAGGAGAAAGGTGATGACGGGGGGGGGTGTGCTGGGTGAGATAAGGAGCAGAAGGCCACCGTAGGGATGTCCTATCTCTGAGCACCCTCCCCGGGAGAGGATTCGGCTGGAGTTGTTTCATACAGGTCCGTGTTAGCAGTGACTCTCACACGGTACATTTTGTGCAGTTTATTGGAATTTAACAGGCTTATTATGTTTTTTTATGTACTTTAAGGGCCATCGTAAAAAAAGATAAGGGAAAATGTTTGCTCTCTATTGCCAGTGGGCAAAAGGCAGGGATATTTAATTGCAGAAGGGCTGATTCATGCGAGGACCAGCTTTGCAAGTGTCAGTTTGAGGGGCTTGTTTACTCTCGGGGACACACGGTGCATGAAGGTACACAGAGAGGTTTCTTCCTCTTTCTCTTTGGGTATGTTTCCGCCACTCTTTCAAAACCCCAGTCTCTGTTTTCTCAGCCTTCTCAGTCCTTTGCCAGGGCCAAGGAACCATCTTGTTCATGGATATTTACTTTTTTATATTTCCGACTAATTTATGGCAGATAACCTGCTGAACCTCTAAGACGCTCAGGGGCCTGTTCGTCTGGTTCCAGGCAGGGCTCCTTCCAGGCAGTTTAAACTTTCTAGGATGAAACTTGCTTGGATTTAGTAGCAGAACTGTGTCGGGTGTCTACAGGCCGTTCTGTCCTGTAAACTGCCTTAAGCACCCCCTGTGACAAGATGGATTAGCATTCGAAATAAGTAAGCACACTTTTATATGCACACTTTTATATTGTGCACACTTTTATATTTCAGTACCATGAATTTTTCTCCATGTAGAATTTCAGACAGGAACTAGAAATTGCCCTAACTGAAGGTTGTCAGATTGTAAACATAAATTAGGAATTGAGTCTTCCCTACATCTGGCCAGGCCCATAGCTACAGTGGAATTTTGGGGGGCTCTGCCCCCTTTCTTACAGACACAGCCCCACAAGAATCAATCACTTTTCCAGTCATTTTAAAACATTTTTAAAAGACCTGTGCTCCTTTAAGCAGAGTGGGGTGCTGTAGTTGATTAATTCCCGCACTGAGCAAGGGGATTTTGGATCCCTTCTAACTCTGTGTAAAGAAACTGGTCCTCTTTAAGGGCATTTTACCTCCTAAGTGTTCGCTTTCTTGACTATAGAAGTCATCACTCCCACCTGCTAGCTTGTAATCAGAATTGTTGCATAGGCTGGCAGGAGTGATTAACTTGCAGCAGCTGAGAACTGTCATCTAAAGTGGTTGACAGCTTGCAATTTAGAGATCTATCCCGATAACAGCTTTCTATTGACTAAATGGCTTTTCTTTCTGCACTGAGAATTTCAGCCCTTCCAGAGAAAATATTTGCCCCAAAAGCCACAAAATCCTGGCTATGGGCCTGCATATGGCCAAGACAGAAAGGGCTAAACCTGGTGTGTGTGGGGGGGTCTCAGTCTGGAGATTTCTCTAATCTTGGAGAGTCTCCTTAACACCTCTGGATCTTGGAAATCAAATATACTTTGCTAACTTTTCTGTAAGTCCCCTGGGGTTTGACCCAGCTTCTCCATAGCTGACCTATTCCATTCCAATTCTGAATCCTCTGACCAGTTCTCTGTGTCTTTTGGTGCATTTTCAATACCGTGGCAGGCACTGGGGGCTTTCCTGACACTCCCGTCTAACCTTTAGATAATTTCCTAGACACCCTAAATGTATCTCACCACCAAGACAGTATTTTGGGGCTTCAAAAAACAAATGAACAGTATAATTTCTTAGTGTCATCTATATATCTGATAGCAACATGGGGCTTCCATCTGCGGATATCTAAATCTAAACTGACACTGAGCAAATTCTCCTGCAAATGTGGGGAATGCCCCAGGTTTGCAGAAAAATCTGAAAACACAAATAAAATGCACTGTGGGGGTTTAAATTCCACCCAAAATAAATCAGCGTTGTCTGGACACGGACAGACAGCACAGTTACCTGTAGAACAAGCAGTGGACACAGGGCGCAAGGGGACAGCTCCAGGCCGGGCATTGGTAGCAGAAGGTGCCTGGAGTGGATCTGGGCCCAGTGTTGGCAGCGGAGGATGCTGGGAGCCTCTCCAGCCCCGGAAGGGCTCCTGGGCACCACTGCCACTGCGGCCAGGCACCTGAAGGCGGGTGGTGGAGCCACCCAGGCTTGGCGATGGGAAGGAGTGGGATTCCCCCCGTGAGTCTCGTGGGCCCGCCTCTTGAAGGAAAAAAAGAAAAAGGCCTGGGGTGGGGAGGGAGAAAGAGGGAGGGAGGGAGAGAGTGGTGGGGTGTAGGGGGCAGAAAGCGAGAGTGTTGGGGTGGGGGGCAGAGAGGGTGCGTACGGGCATGGGGGAGAGTGTAAGAGAAGGGGTGGCAGGATGGAGAAAGAGTAAGAGGCAGAGAAATAGGGGGAGAGGAGAGGAAATAAAGGTGGGGGGCTAGGATGACCACTCCCATCAGTTTCTTGCTGGGCCCCACTTGTCTAGTCTGATAGTCAAGTGTGCTCCTGTCTGCAGATCAGGGCCACATTTGACAGAAGGTAGGTTTTTCTTAGACTTGGGGGGAAACCCCCCCCAAGCTTCCAGAAAAATCTGAAAACTAAAAGGGACGTGTTCACTGCGGAAGTGCAGAGAACGCTCCTCTCCACACAGTCAGGCGCACGGTGAGGAGGCAGGCGGGGAAGAGGAGAGGGAGCTTCTGGGTGGCTGGACGGGGGTGGGGGTGGGAGGCTGCCGCTGTCTTGTCAGCAGAGCATTGGGCAGGGAAGCGGGGAAGCTGCCAAAGCTGAGGCAAGTGACTAAGGAGACAGGGAGCGGGGCGAGCAGCTAGGATGGCGGGAGACTTTCTGCTACGGAGGCTGTGAACCAGCGGGACGGGTAGATGGGCAAGTGGCTGTGCTGGCAGGGGAGCTGCCGTCGCTGTCAAGGTGGCGAACCATCAGGACGGGCGGCTGGGCTGGCAGGGGAGTCACTGACCCTGCAGCTGAGGTGGCGAAGCAGCCTGGTGGGCAGGGGAGCCAATGCAGCCGCTGCAGTTAAGGCAGCAGCATACCAGTGGGACCAGCAGCTGGATGGCTGGCCGGGCAGGGGAACTGCCATTGAAGCTGCTGCAGTAACAAAGACAAGGGGTGGGGCATGGCAGTCCGGTAGAATCATGGGGAGGGGGGAGTAGCCAAAGCAGTAATTAATTAATTAATTAATTAATTAATTAATTATAGTATAGCAGTGGGTGTAGTATAGCCAGGAGATCCTAAGGTTGTCTGGCAGCCAGAAGTTCTAGCTCTTTTACCATTATGCTCCACTAGGTGGCGAGCTAGACTTGTTTTTAAGGCAAGAGACGTCGTCAGAGGTGGTGTGCCATCGCCTGCCTCTGCGCCACGCCCCTGGTCTTCCTTGGAGATCTCCCGCCCAAATACTATCCAGGGCCAACCCTGCTTAGCCTCCAAGATCTGACAGGATCGGGCTAGCGTGGGCTGTCCAGGTCAGGGCGGCAGAGCAGTGAGGGTGGGGGATGAGCAGAGGGCCCAGGATGTGGAGGGAGGGAGACAGAGAAGCGAGGTGGCAGTGCGAAGGAAAAGCGGAGAAAGGTGGCGGGGGGGGGGGTCAGGAGCCAGAGGACTAAGCAGGGATCAGTGGGGGAATTTTCCCTTGAGTTTCTTACAGGTTCCTCCTTATTAGGACTAATCAAAATGAACAGCTGTGAAGAACTTAAACACTTGCTATTTTCTGTGTTATTTTGGTTGGCCCTTCCAAAAAAGGGTACTACTGCACAACTGCTGTTTCTGCAGTACTCCTGTCGTAATTTCAAATAATCCAGCAGCACAAGGGTCTTGGACAAACGTGGCTACTTAAAACCTTTGTCTGTCCTTGGAGTGGTCATCATTTCCCGTTATCACGGAATAATTCTATTTGGATAGCAGTGAGGTTGAACATGCAGCTTCATCTCCCCACTGTTCCCCTCTCTTCAACAGGGAAGTAAAGTCCCTAGATCCATGGATGCATAAACTGCAATACCTTCTTTGTCTTCTCTTTTCCCTGCAGTGTCTTTCTTCGTGGTGAGCGTGGGAGGCACCTTGATTGGCGTGGCCTTCGCCTTCCTGCTCTCGCTCGTCACCCGTTTCACGAAGCATGTCCAAATCATCGAGCCAGGATTTGTGTTTGTCATCTCCTACCTCTCCTACCTGACAGCTGAGATGCTTTCTCTTTCGGCCATCCTTGCGTAAGTCTGAGCTAGTTAACTGGCTCTTCTTTCTCTTTCCACAGGAGTAGCCCTGTTATTCTGTTGCAGCAGAAATCAACGACATTGCCACGCCTTAAAGAAGAGCAAAATTTAATCCACCCTTAAGCTTTTGTGGATCAGAGCCCCGAGTCTTTGGTTTCTATGAGTGGAGCCTCCCAATACAAGTGTTTTAACTTCTGTAGAAAGCTTAAAAAACAAGCAGCAGGGGTCAAAGGGCGGTGAAATACAGGAAGTGCCAAGTGAAATGTAGTTATGTAAAAATCAGATGTAATCAGGAAAAATAGAGAGACCGCTTAGTGGAATCATAGAGTTGGAAGGGACTTCCAGTGTCTAGTCCAGCCCCCCGCACAATGCAGGAAATTCACAAATACCTCCCTCCCACACACATCCCCAGTGAGCCCTGTTCCATGCCCAGAAGAGGACAGAAAACCTCCAGGATCCCCAACCAAACTGGCCTGGAGAAAAATTGCTTCAGCATTTCCCTGGGCATGTAAAAAAGAACCACGAGAACTAAGCACTGACCCAACCCTTCAAGCCCTCCCTCTAATGATCTGCCTAAGTTCACAGGATCCACATTGCTGTCAGATGGCCATCTAGCCTCTGTTTGAAAACCTCCAAAGAAGGA